CGACCTGGGAGCAGGAGGTGGGTGGGTGGGTGGGGGGTCATGAGGGGAGGAGTCCCTGAAGCCCGAATTCCCCCATTCCAGAAATTCCTCCCACCGGCCTCTGCTCTGGCAGCTCAGTTGGCCTGAGTCCTCAAGGGCACAGAGATGCTGGCTCACTCATTTCTGCATTTGCACCCCGAGTCCCGGGCCCCGGGCACCCTGAGCCCTGGGCAGACTCCTGTGGCTGCAGTTCTTAGAGCCTAGGGGGCCTGGGGATGTGAATTTGTTCTGTTGGGACAAATGCAAAACGATGCAGATCATATGCAAATCGAGATGTGCAGGGGGGCGTAGTGTCCGCAGGGAAACCAAGGTCCCAGTGCTGCCAGGAGCTTGGGAGGATGTGTGGCTTCGTGTTTATGCGTGTGTGAGCTTCCTAATTTCCTGGGGCGCAGGGCTGAGCGTGCCTGTTCGTGTGAGTGCGATGAATGAGTGCTGTGCTCTGTCTTGTGCAGGACAATGGCTACTGCACCGTGGGGGTCGAGCCCACCTACCTGCCCTCCCCGAACGGCCAGCCCCTGTGGATCCTCGGGGACGTCTTCCTCAGGTCCTACTATTCCGTCTACGACATGGGCAACAACAGGGTGGGGTTCGCCACTGCCGCCTAGACCCAGTGCCTGGACGCCTGGGCTCCCCTCTTCCTCTCAGCCCCCCACCTTGCAGGGGCTCCTCTCTGCGCTTCTCTGGATCCAGCCTTCCTCTTCTGGACTCCGGACTTTCTCTAATAATAAATAGTTCTTCTTCATGTTGGTCAGCCTGTTGTTGTGTTTTAGAGCGTTGCTGTGACCTGTAAAGGAGTGGGGAGCGAGAGTCAGGGGCGAAGTTGCTTCTGCTGAACCATGTTGTCCCTCAATTGCTTCCAGGTTTCTGGGTGGGCCCCTTAGATTCTAAGAGAAATGGGGCATAAGGTAGGGCTCAGGGATGGGCCCTGTGCCCTTCAGAGCTTCTCTCTGCAGAGGGAAGACAATGGTAGCAGCATCAAGGCAGGGCATTCCTTTGTGAAGGGAAAAGGGGCCCTATTCTGACGACCCAAAATGCTCTGCTGACCTAACTAACCAAATAACCACCAGAAGTACCCACCCCCGATGTCCACAGGCATGTCCACTAGCAGTGCGGCCGGGGGGTGTGGGGGGGCGGCAACAAATCTAAATCCACTTCCTTATCTGGGATCAAGTTTGCGCTGGGAGCTTCCTGAGGCATGCCGGATGCCTCGGATGCCTATGTGCACTTGTAACAGTCATGGGTCCTCCAGGGAGGAGGCTAGTGCCACCAGAACCTATTTCCAGGAGGGCTTCTGAAGGTCTGAGCTGAGTTAAGCTGAGAATATTTTCACCCAGGACCTGTGTTTGAAGAAGGACTGGCCCTCAACAGTGCACAGGAGGGAGAGCTACTTAAATCACATGGGCTCTAACCAACTGAACAAGAGGCCTTGTGCCTCTAGAATAGATTCATCCCTGTCCTCCTTAGGAACCACCTAGCAAGACCCAGAGGCAGGGGGTGGAGGAGGGAGAGGGGGTGGGGTGGAGGAGGGGGAAGGAGAGGGGAAAGCAGAGAATGAGGCTCAGCACCCTGTAACTTCTTCCAACAGGGGAAGGTGACATGGAAGATCAGAACATTTCTGGGTTTGATAGTGGTGGGGGGAACCAGAAAGCGCGAACTGACGAGACCTAGGTTGGGAGGGGCAGGCTGTACATGCAAAACTCATAGTGGGCGGGAAGGGGGGCTCCATTCCACGTCACACTTCTTTCATCCTGTCCTTCACAAGGCTGACCCCAACCTTGCCCCTTATGTCCAGAAGCAGGTGTAAATGCGCAAATCAGGTGGCAAACTCAGGTTGCCGCTGGAGAGTTCCTATGGCAACAGCACACCCCCTGGGACCCTACATCTTTCCCAGTCTCTTGGGAAAGACAGCCTGCTGGGTGCCTTTCCTTGGGGTCAGACAGGCCACAGGGTGCATAGTAGTGCGCTCCGGTTCGGGACATCACTGACTGAGAAGAGAAAGAAAACTTGCAAAAGGGGCAGAAACGAAGTGGATAGATAACAGGTTCCAGGTTAAACGCCAAGTCCCTGTCTACCGCCTTGGGCCCAGGGAGCGGACTACAAACCCCGGCGTGCCTCGTTGAGCCGCAACGAAGACTACGTTTCCCAG